CTGTAGCGGTGAGTTCCTAATAAAAACACCCTATACAGTAGTTAGAATAAAATATTTAAAATTAATCAGTTTATGCAAAAATGGCTAAATATACTAACTAAAAGTACGTTATTTGTTACCTTTGTGCGTTTAAAATAAAGGGAATTATGCTTTAAAACCTGCAATTCTGTTAAATGTCTGCCTAACTGACAAAGTAAACCTACATGAACTGCTCAGAGTTCGAGACAAACTTTAACCATCCTTATTTGCCAAGTACACCTTGTTGTTTGCTATGCACTTTCACTCTATATCTGGATAATAATACATAGGTTACATCAAACATCTTTACATGAAATTATAGCTATTTAATATATTCCTCATAGTTTACGTGAAAAAATATGTATTCACTGTTATGATACAAAGGACCTTGCGATTATATGACATGACAATCTATCTACGCAAAATCTGTATTTTTTTCTTCTACTAATTGTTTTTCTTGCTCTAAATTAGAGTTTGGTGGAATCTTTGGTATCAGCTGTTTTCGAAGATAACTCATATATGATTGAACTGATTCAATTTATTTTGTTTTTGCAAAATGTGTTTTATTTTTGTCATTTTATTATTAATACGCTATGTTACCGACAAATTGGGATTTATTTGACCAACAAAATTTTCTTAATAACAGAATATTGCAAAAAAACATAGTAGTAATAAGATATAAGTATAAGCATTTTGAACATTTGTGAAAATATTATTTCACTATACAAAGTAAGAATTATTCATATTTCCACTATAGTGCCGTAGTAACAGTTCTTCTTCTTATTTGTTTGAAGAGTTTAATTAAAATTGATTGCCTCTCCTTTCTTTTGTGCATTTAACTTCTTAACAGGGTCAAACATAATCTAACGTAAAGTTTAAAGACTAATAGGACATTATTTGTATTGACTGCAAAAGAAAATTCTTATATGAGTAATTTAATTGGATGCAGTAAAACTTAATTGTTCAATGCGCGAAAAAGTTTAAGTACTAAAAGTAAATTATGCTAATTTTTCGTAATACAGTATTTACATTTTGAGGTACTGTATCTACTGTGCAATATTTTATTGTTTTATATAGCCTTTAGTTTTCGGTAACTCCAATGAGTTGGGGCAAATATTTTCACAAGTTCGTATCGAATACTTAATTCTCCTAAATCACCAGTTATACCGTTTCGAACTTTATTTATACACAAATGTGCTTGAGAGCACAGTGTGCTAGGGAAATTGACTGAAGATGCGTCACAACATATAATCCTGGATTCACAAGGAATCCTCTTTATGCGGATATAACTTTGTCACGCCACGCAAGTTTGGTACTGTATTTTATACTTATACGGGATTTTCTCTCGAAACTTTGGTGAAATTATTTGTAAAACTTTTGTTTTGAACAATTGTAGAATGTCAATCGTATAACTTTATAAGGGTAAGTTGAAAATTGTCTGTACAATCAGTACTGCATATAAGAGTCAAACAGACCAGTAACATGTGCAGTACACTAATTTAACACCACACCATTCCATTAAGCCTTAGTTAAATCTGTGGGTAAATGAATAGAGTAATACATGTTACCGCAGTGTACGAGCTAATTTAGAATAACTCGTTCATTTTCAGCATAGCTGTTAGTAAATGGGGACACGTTATACAGTATTGCATTTTGAATGCAAAATGTAAGAATATTTGCATATCCAGGGTGCCCCGTAAATAAATATCCTAATTCCGAATAATGGTTCTATGGGTCAAAATAGGAAGAAATTCGAGAATCATAAATATTTTCTAAAATAGCGATTTTATATTTTTTACATAACCATTGTTATCTTTATATTCTTTGAACCGATCAGTTAAAATATCATGATTTTAGTTGTAAAATAAGAGAACTCACATCAATCTAGTAAATTCAGGGGCCATAAAAGTGACGAGGTCAATGAAGAAGACTACCTGGCATAAGACTATTCTCCTCGACAGAACCATACCGGGTATTTCGCTGGGAGGAAGGGATGGTCAAGTAAAGAGGGGAGTGAGAAAGAGAGGGTTCAGGGAGAGAGAGTGAGAGAGGGCAAGGAGTGTACAAGTGAGATGGCGAGGGGCAGACAGCACGTGAGCGTGGCCGTGGGTTGAATCAATTGAAAGGACTATAAATAGATATAAAGTAATTTATAAATAGAGTTTCCAAGAAAGTATCCATTGTTCGCTGTAATATGACAGTCACTAATTTTAACTTAATCATTTGTTATATATAACATTATTAAACATGTGTATAAGGTGTATATTAAAAAATATCATTGCAATTACTTGGTTTTAGGACCTTATCAAAAACCTCAGCTGCATTACTGTATTGGTAATCGAAACATCGCCATATACTTATATACAAATCTCAGCAGTTGTTCATGAAATCGCTGTTAGAGTACAGCACATTGGACACCAAAAGGCGTTTGGCCGAAATTTGACTTGCTTTTTTGTTTCGGCATGTTTGATGCTGACAGGAAGTTTGTTGAGGATTGTGATAACAATCTGCGATGGCAAAAACTCGAACGACACACGTCTACTCTGCTGAGTCCGGGAATAATTGTATTTGCCCCTAGTCTCATAATCATGGACGTCTCTGTCATGCACTATTGAGCATTCGTTTTTACAATACATGACCAAATCTAAGATGTAGAGACAGGGTACAGTGAGCAATTTCAACACCCTGAAAGCATTTTTACATGATTCTCTCCTCCGCAATTTTCAGATTATCCTCACTGCTTTTTCTGCACTTTGAAAACTCGTTTTAGTCTGAAGATAGCACAGCTCCCCTACAGAATATTAGTATAAAGCTGTGCATATTACTGTAAGTTATATAAATATGCAAGTATGCCTACAATAAAAGCTTTTAATAAGGTTAGAAATGTTTTTGATAAATTTCCTGGTAGGCCTATATACGGTTAATGCCATACAATGTAATATGGTGTACATTTCTAAGTCTATTCCCATAACCAGCAATATTTGAGTGGTCACAATTGATTCTCTTGTACAAATTTATCTAGCAAGACTATGGGTGATTATGTTTTAGTACATTGTCTCAACTCCTTGCATTATTGTAGTTCAATAGGTTCATTTTGACGATTAAGATAACAAACTTATAGCGTTTTCTTCAGTAAACGGAATTGAAAAAAATCAGCATTTAAGGATAGCCTTAATTTATTCTTTTTCTCGTTCATAATCACAGTTTTTGAATTGTGTAAACGGGAAATCAGATATAATATCGAATAGAGAAATAATTTCGAATTGGACAAACAGCACACGTCTTTAAAGACTTTAGTAATCTAAACTAGTATTTTGGTTCCCCATCTATTAAAATCATGATTATCAATAATTAATAATAATTATTAATTATTAATATATATATATATATATATATATATATATATATATATATTAAAAACATACAACAAGGTAAAATTTTGAAGATCTTTGTGCCAATATAAAAAGTTCATTTGAGTACTAAACGAGAACTGAAAGCCATCAGGTGGCGTATTTATTATTAAACGTATGCATAATCACATTTAATTCAAAACACTGGTCTGAATACAAGCTTTCAACAAACTATTATCCCTACTGTTACAGAACAGCGTGCTTTTATTAGGCACGTCATACGTGTACGCTTGAAAATAGGTTGGAAACATATACTACGACTGCAATCAGCTGGTGCATTGTTTCACAGCCTTTTAAATTTTAATATTATACTTAAAATTTGTCTTTATGTTAACATTCTTTCTTCGTCCAATGCTCGGATTTAACCTAACCTAAAACGTATTGTTTATTGTTTTAAAAACTAATTATTTATGTAGTTTATAGTAATTGTAGGAAAAATCTAATGTGTAACGCGAGCTAAAAGTGCCCCTTCGCACACCAGTTACACAAATAACTATTTCCCACAGTTACCTGACAACGCCTTCCTTACACAGATTATAGGACGAATAGTAGCTAATTGCTGCATTTACTTACTTTTGCCACACTCATTTTACTTTGTCACACTCCAGTTTTCAAACCAAACAACACAAAACAGTGTTATTTTGTAAAGCAGGTAATATGTTCTGTGTACTTAAAAAATATGTTGTTTTTGGGTCGTTGTTCTGATAGTTATTTGTTGTGAATCATTTTTTTAGGTTATCTTGTTATGTCTTTTTCTTGAAATCTTGTTATTTCCAGTTTTTTTTTCACCACTTATCTACTGATCAGTCATTTGTCATAAAGACACTCTGTATTTTATTGTTGAAATGGTGTATCAATAAATAAATAAATAAATACACTTAAAGATATCACGACTACGATCAGCTGGTGCAGTGTTTCCCATTTCGTTCAATGTTTGGATTTAACCTAGCCTAAAAACGTGTTGTACAGTGTTAGAGAGACTAATTATTTTTATGATTTATACTAACAGCAGGAAAAATATAATGTGTAACACAAGTCCAAACTGCCTTTGCTGCACTCGAGAAACTTTCCACACTCACCTACGGCTCGTGCGTCAACATTTCTTTCGTGTGAAGCAAAGTGACACATCGCCCCCTAGCTACACAAATAACAATTTTTACTTACATATATATATATATATATATATATATATATATATATATATATATATATATATATATATATTTTAGAAATCGATCACGGGTCTAGATCTAACAATGAGACCTAGGGAAATATCTTAATCCCTATATGTCCTATGTTTTTTAGACAAACACTCAATAGTTGAAAACTGCACTAAGGAAATAATATTATATAGGAAAGTAAAAATAACAACACGATAACCTTAATTATAGAATTTTAAGTATTGATAATGAAACAATCACCACCCATGATGGATATTTATTTTAATCTGTTTTAAAAATCTTTTATATTCTTTTTCTTTCAGTAGGTCCAATTTGTTTATTTATTCATCCATTCTACTTTCCTTTTCTTCAATCTGCTTATCGGTAGAGTTGTTAGATTCTTCAAATCTTTTTTTCTTCTTCGTCTTGCATGTTGTCCAGATTGTCAAGTTTATTGTTGTATTTATCCTCTTCAGCAGTTATGAGTTAGTCTGCAGCATCTGAGGTGAGTTTTCTAAATCTTTCTTATAAATGTTTCTAAACTCTATATAGTGTCTCTATATCCCCAGATTTTAAGTTGCATTATTTTGTTTAGGTTTTGTGTGCTAGTAACTCTTTCCTGTTGTAGTATTTAACTTAGTATATTTTTTCGTTATACATTTTTCTCTGATGACATTCTTCAAATTTCTTATCCTCCAATTTATTTGTCAGACTCCCTATAATACCGTTAGCCACCAATTGATACTCTCTTTCAATTCTTCCACCTCAAACCAAGTCAGTTCTATATCATTAGTATTATCTTTGTCGTACTTGCCTTTTTTCCATTTTCCATCCATCTGGTATATTATTTCGTTACTATTAATTGAGAATGCAAAAAATGCATCTTCAGGTCTGTTCACTAGTAGGATATTCCCTACGTTTATTACCCTCGGTGAGATAATAGGATAGTAAGAAAAAAAACATTTCCTTTTGAGTGACTTCTCCTGTCCGCTATCTCTCCGAGAAATTTTTATTTTTTCTTCACAATCTCCTGTTTGCCAAAATATATGTCTCTGAATCGACACCTTGTACTTTTGTCCAAAGATAGTTTTCGTCTCTGGAAATCAAAAGAAATATTGGTCGAATAAATACTTACAGTATAATTTCCCTTTTAATTTTAAATCAGGTAATGATTATTAGTTTAATTATGAAAGAAATGTTACAAAATCTCACTAATTTATGACTCAAATCAGTAATCAGATGGCAATACTTCTTTATAAGTATAGCTAAAACGTCTCAAGAAGAAAAACTAAATATAAATTGAAACGTCAAGCTTGATACTTTTAATATTCACAAAAATATGAAACATAAATATCGCAAGTGGTTTTAATTTTTCGAAGTTAAAAGTCTAATATGAAAGACTTAAGATTTTTCATATTCTTCTTTAATGATGTAGAAAAGAAAGAGCACTTTTGAAAATATCTTACAAGATATGGTTTTAAGGTCAGATTCTTAAAGGGTCCCATTACAATTAAATAATCGTAAATTTTATGTGATTAAATTATAGCTACCAGCCAAAGAAAATTTAACTAATAGCTAACAACTAAATAGCATGCGTTTGTATAACGGTAAAAAATCATATCCATCTCCCCAAAATTTTGAAGAGGCATCAAATCTTTTTTGTGAACTCCTATATGGTGCTTATTTAAAGAATAATTTTAAGAAGAAGAAAAACATGCGGGGTAATTTTAGTGAATGATATAAAAAGAGACACTTTTGTATTTGCTTGAAATATTGATTACAATCTGGTTGTTTTGAAGTTAGTTAATACTATTTAGTTACATAGTCTCTTAAACAGAGTTCGAATAAAAAACCTCAATTCTTACCCCATAAATCTCCCACAAAACCCCGTTCCCATGGTCCGTTCACCCTTGTGAACTCGTTCGTATTAACGTAGGTTTACATGTTTGTACCTAATTTGGTCAAAATCTTATAATTTTTGCTTGAGTTATCGTGTTAACAGATATATATATATATATATAAATATATGTGTATATATATATGTGTATTATATATAGTGGGACAATAGAACTGTCCCGGGCTTATGTCTTACCGTGAGATCTACAGTAATAGCTTATACTCTATATAGGAAACTCGCCAAAAACCGACTATTTTACTAGAAAGGATTAATATTTTATATTACCTGTCTTCATTATGCCATTATCGGTCTCTACCGAGTTTGCCCTGGGTTCCTGATAGTTGCCTAAACCTATAAAAACAACTAACATACAATCTATAAAGAGTATGTATTAATAAAGAAGCAATGTATAAATCTCATTTTTAGTTGTAGTTCCGGTAGTTATTCAACTTATCTAATAAATGTTTTATTTGATTACATCCAATAAAACATTTATTAGATAAGTTAAATAACTGAATTAAAAAATAGTTATTGTATTATCAATGTGAAAATATTTTATATGATTCTAATAAATAGACCTATATTCATAACAAACGCAATAGATATAAACACAATAATTCAATTATTACCTCACCTTACCTTACTTAACCTAGTTGGCCACTCAAACCTAAGTAGGTTTTTTGCATCGCCAACAACCTTTCGCCATCTTTGTCGGTCTTTATCAGTTCTTGCGTAGCATCCATTTTCTCATGTCTTTTCGGATAAATCAGTTCTTTAAGTACAATATATGTATGAATATTTTAATCTGAACACCTTTATAAATACATTACAATCCACATAATATTTTCCGTTTCAACTTCCATATTGATCTGGTATTCGTATGACGGGGATTGGAGTAGCACTTGATTATTTGGATTGAACTTTTTCCATACTACGTTGCAGGTGTGAGTAGAATTTGTTAGCGAAAAGACCACTCTCGAGTTGTGGAGTAGGCCACGTAAAGTATACCATGTATGAAAACCCCAGTGAACAGGATGACACCAACGAATTTTTGTATTTATCCTTGGTTCTTGAGTATGACCATTGTCAATGCTTGCCATATGGGAAACTGATGGGGCTGCATTCTATTTTCAAGATGGGATTTGCGTGAATTTAAGGTAATTCGTGAAATTTAACCAATCTTCCTGAATTTTTAGAATTGTTTAGGAATACAGGATCATGACCTATAATTTTTCAAGGAGCAGGTAACTATTTTATATTTGATTAGTGAGTATATCGGACTGTAAAGTTTAATAGATATGTCTAAACAGCTGTTGCAACAAATATCATTATACTTAATTATTTTACTTAAATTTCTCCTTGTGCCTTATTGTCATTAAGAGGTTTTTACGGAGGAATGTTATTAACTAACCATTTAAAATATACTTCAATCTCGCGTTATTTGTTATTAGTGGATTTTCAGTGAAGAAAATTGTTGACTTAACATTTTGAGTTGTTTTAGGTGGACCCCCAAAGTTCCAGTCATAGTATTCCGCTTCAGTATATGGGAGCGTTAGACAACCCAGTGCCTGAATAAATAGATCAGTTACTGTTCATAGGGAAAATAAATTCACTACACTATCATTCGTCTACGCGACCAAAAAACTCCATGGTATGCAAATCATTTTACTTTTAGTTACAATGATGTATCACCTACTAAAAACTGTTGATTTATGAGAAAATTGGAGCTGAAATTTATGAAATATAAAGCTAAATGTGAACATGTTTATGTGATAAGAACTTAATATTAACTTGTGTTTAAACATTTGGAGGTAATATTTGTTCTTTTTTTACAGCACTCAACTGATTAAAACCAAAGTGTTTGTTTGAAATAGAATTTCTGGAAATAATGTTCACTAGATTCAAGGGTGTTTATGACACGCGTGAAGAAGTTTTCTTTGTAAAAGGTATACACGAATAGAATTATGAATCACACAGTTTAAACAGTGTTACATCATAGTATTGCCAAACAGCTAAATCAATATACAGAATAAACTTATCCCAAAACTTTTTTTCAAAGTGTGCGATTAGTTTATTTTGTATAACAGTTTAAACAGTAAAATGAAAACTAGATAAAATTAAACCAAAGAATTTTTGTATCGAACATGTTTGTTTTGTTTTACAAAAGTTATCGTGTCACCTATCCCATCAAAATTCTTTTAATGTTTAGTATGCCTAACTTGGTTCATTCTTACTTTGAAGTATTTGCCTTAAGCTCAATTAACTATGTTTATATATGTTTATAAACCTTAATCTTGATTGTTGTTTTCGTAACCAAAGTTCTACTGCAATAGTAGAAATGTGTAACATTTTACGAATTTCATTTTCTCCTCAAAATTTGTAGGTATTCAAATTTGTTTACAATTTTGAAATCTTTAATTTTGTCTCCATTAAACAGGCTATGTTATAGATAATTATTTAAACTGCATATAAAATTTATTATGAATACGAGAAAAATTATTCTAAATATCATTGTACGTATACATAATATAGATAATGTTTACAGCTGTAAACATAGGAATGGAAGTCCCGATTATATTTCTTAGTAAGCACAGCCATGCAGTTTGAAATGGTAGACATGAGAACGAATCTTATATGTTCAAAATCTACGCCTATATTGCTTGCTTAGCAAACAGTTATATGAAAGTTCAACATGTCATTAATTTCACATCAAAAATTAAAGGACAACTTACTATAATCTATGAGTGATCGTTGAACTAGGTACAGATGGGTCATATGGTTGGGTTTCTACATATGCTACAGTTTCTATCTTTGGGTATCCTAAAGTTACAATATATGTGGTTTGATATTTTTCTTTATTGGGAAGATTGCGGCGTCTATCATGAAATCTTACAATGTTCAATTATTGCCAAAGGAGTTTATGACACTAACTGAGTTGTAGCATAACATTTTTTTAAAGATTTTATAGTACTTTAAGAATTTTTTTATGACCCCCCTTCACATATTGGGACGCTAGGGCTAAACTTAATTAACATTTATGTTTATGAGTCGTAAGTTTTTAGACAATGAAAATTCTTTTTAGGGTAGTAATGTAGAGTAGTTTCAAAGAAAACAACTATCTAAATACAAACCAATCAATAGCCACTATGTATATTGTCTACTCATGCCGTGGGATAACTCAACATGAAAAAAACCAAATACCAAAACTAAAAAACCAAACTTCATAATACATTTACAATAATTATTCATAATAGGTTCTCAATATCAAAATAGTACTGTAATATTAGACTCATAATTCAGAGTTTACGGAAAATACAAATATATTTACATACCAACACAATATGTGAAAAGCGAACGCTGCACATCATTGGCTTATAATGTCAATGGGCGTGACCTCTAGAGCAAGATGATCCAGTATAGAGTAACTACAATTCCAACACAACCTTATAAAGCTTTCCGTAATCAGTAAGTTTGTTAAATAAGGTTGAAGCATGCAGAAAGCCATAAACATACGTTTAACAAAGATTAGTATACTCGGAATATGAAAACAGAACTTTTATATTTTTTCTTGTAAAACACAAATAATAAATTAGATTACGTTTTGCTCAAACCAAGTAGTCATAAAACCAATTTCGTTGCTGGTGTACATAAACGTATTTGTAACAGTACATTTCATCACTAAGGCGTATCCTAAAACTTTCCCACCCGGACTCAAGTTTTAGTCCAAGAAAAATAACGAGGGTTAAAAAGATACTTTTTGCCCTTGTGAACTATACATTGTGATTAACAAGTCCCGGAACGGTGTAATATATTTTATACGATTATAGATCAAGAAATGAGATTTCGTATATAAATAGTATACATTAATGTCTATTGTTTCAGCTATTATTACTTTTACATCCCTTAAGGGAGACGGCCTACGAGAAATCAAACGAAATTCTTAAACAGCAGCATAAGTCGAGTTTGGTATTTAATTATAGGTGAACAAATCGTCTAGGGGAACACATTGCCGCAAACCCGAACTTTAACGGACAACTGAGTCAAAAATGGCAGCCAATTAAATATTTCTAGAATTTGCAATTTTGATTCTTTGAATGGTTGCCAATTTTTACTCAGTTCTTTGAGCTCAAACTTACGGCATTGTATTATACTAATAACGACCTTTCATTTGCTGTGCATATCGACTTATGTTAAAGTTTGTGATTCTCTTCCGAATTATAGCTGGTGGGACCCTGAGGAGTAAAGTCTATAATAGATGTCTGAATCCTCGTGGGCCCCCCTTAAGGGATAGAAAAGTGATAATAGTTTAAAAGAGTAGACATTTATAGTTATTATTAATATACCAAGTCTCATTACTTGAACTTTAATGGTAAAAAAAAAACATAATACACCCTTTCCGGGACTTTTCAATTACACGGTATTTTTCGTCATATTGCAACGTAAATTACCAAACAAAGCTAGAAAACAATGGTACTTTTAATGTAAAGATAACATCTAAAAACGACTTCCAACACGTTTTTAATATTGTTGATGTAAATAAGCAGCTGTTTAGTTAGAGTTATATTATTTCGTTTATTACGATTGAGTTAGTGTACATTATACTAATCGATATGTCAAACTATTGACATGAATGAACAATAATAAATAACAACCCTAAGGTACAACCGATTAAAATAAACGATAGATAATTTCGACAAATGCGATTGCTTACAATCGAAGCTTGCAACTGTTTACTATAGCTGACCTTTACCCCCTAGGGACTAAAAATGTGTTTTTTCTCCCTAGGGACTAAAAAGGCGTTTACTCCCAAGGGGGTAAAAAGATTACTTTAGACGCAGTGCATGTATTAAAAACTGCTGTTTTTGCCACGGTATGACGACAAAATAATTCAATTAGGTATTGCTTGTAAAAAAGTATAAGAATTATTTTACTATATCGTGGCACATATAAATTTGATCTTTTAATGTTGACGAATACAAATATAAATACGTACACATACTTCACATCTCAGGAAGGGGCACGGCAAACTATACAGATCAATTAACAAATACCCCACCACAGCAAACCTGCAGACTAAGCTCATTTTCATTAACCTGGATGGCTTTACACTAAAATATTGCCTTTAAAATATGATTTTAATTTTCTGTTTACAAACATTAATTTTAATGAGTAGGAATAGGCTACTATGGTTCGCTTTTTTAGTGAAGGTAAACAGATTTAATTAAAATAAAGGGTGGTCAACCAAAAACGGATGATTTAAAAAATACAATTGCTCTTAAAGTTTTAAACATAGAAAAGTGTTATGAGACAAAAGTTATGTCATTTACTAAATAAAATATCATATTTTAAATCATGAAAATTAAATCACTCCAATTGCGGTTATTTAAATGGACACACATTTTCAAGCCTTGCTCGAAAACTTCGTTCAAAAACTATTAATCAATTTGTTCAATTTGGCTCCTGGCCTGATATTCTTTGAGAGTACGTGGTTTTTCTTTGTCTTCAGGTGTCTCCACAGGCAAAAGTGACACATTGAATTGACAAGTCCGGTGAACGCGGTGGCCACACAACATCACCAAACCGTGAGATCACACACCCACGAAATAACACTCAAACTGCAGCCGTGTAAGCAGTACCCCATCTTGTTGAAACCATATGTTATATAAGTCCCTTATCATGTTCACTTATCGTTCAGAGTTAACAGTGACAGGAGTTTATTCCTTTAAAGAAAGGACCCACAAATACCAAATTTCCTACAGAACACTAAACCGTGTTCCAGGGGTTTTTGTTTTAAAAACTGATCTTTTAGTTCAAAATAAGAAGCCCTTTTTAAAATTGTACTCTAAATCATAAGTTCACCCTGAAGACCAATACGAAAGTGGTGTCTAAAACATCGTTGAGTTTTCACCAGCGAGCACTAAAGACCAATAGGGAGGCTTTGCGGGGCTGGAGGTGAAGCTGGTCTCGCACTACCAGTGAAGGCGCTCAAAGGCAACACGCCGAGCACCCACCATGACTCACAGCAGTCGCGCGCACCCTGAACCAAAAATAGATCAGTTCTGTACAACGCTACCGTCGGTCTATTATTCTCCCCACTTACCTGTGAGCTTCAGACAGGTAGTGCTCGCTGCGTTGATCTCGTGCTGTACCGGTGTGTTGTATAATTAGATCTTGGAGTGAGTTTAAAAAATACATGAGTTTTATTTAAAAGTTAGTATTTTTAGCATGCCTACTGTGTGTGTTGCTTACGGCTGTTTCAACAGCGGAAAGATTGATGGCATTTCTTACCACAGGTAAGAACTATTACATCTAGTTGTTGAAATTAATTGTTGTTAATTTTATGTGGTATGAAAGTGTACCTATTACGGGGTTTTTTAATATGCCTAATTGCAAGTAGGCCTAGTCTTAGTTTTAACTGACGGACACTTAATTTCCCTTGAATGAAAGGGTCTTTTTAGAAAAAATAACTACGTGCGTGCTCTTGTCTAAACATTTTTTATTTAATATTTGTATTATTTACGATTACCTTATGCAGTGTTTATCTATTACGGTACCCAACACGTTATTTTAACTGACTGTTTTGAAAAGCTCTTAATCCAGCATATTTTAACACTTACACCTTAAATTGGATATTTAAAGTTTAGGGTTAACAAAATAGCGTACTGTCGTAATGGGGAAATAACCATCTACTGTAGGACAGTTTTAAAATGGGTTTCACAATTGAAATTTGTGGGATGATAAAATTACGGTGCCTGCCTTTTGTAGATAATTAAAATTGCTACTAAATGAGATGGTGGATTGGCTTAAGTTACAAAAAAGATAAAAATAAATTAAGCTTGAGTGCACGGTATTACCCCCGCTCTCCCAAAGCTCTCTTACACTGATTTATTTTCATTGATAAAATTGGATTCCTATATTTTTTAGGTTTCCAACTCAAGCCGGATTACGAGAGAAGTGGATCAACGCCGTTAAGAGAAAGGACTGGGAACCGAAAAATCACAGTCGGATATGTTCATCCCACTTTAGGGAAGAGGACATTGTTCGGTCACTGGACCGAGTGCAGATTAGAGAAGGAGCAGTACCACTTATTTTCCCGCATGAGTCACATGTTCCACAACGCAGAACATTAAAAAGAAAAATTGAACCCGTGGTAAGCAATCCAAACATTGTTACTACGCCTAATAAAAAATTGTTAAAGAGTGAACTTGCAAAAACCAAGACGGCACTTCATAAGTACAAAAAGGGTGAAATGCTTGCAACAAAATAAAAGAAGGCTTCATAAAAAAGTTGCAAAATTATCAGATATAATAGAGGCACTAAAGAAAAGGCTTAACTTTAAAGAAGAGGATTGTAATTACCTATCCTCAATTTCTCAAAATTCGGACTGTTTAATAAAAAGGGCTGTGCAGAAAACATTAAATCCTAATTTGAAAAAAAAACTGTATGACGAAAGGTTAAAGTGCTATGCAATAACACTGCACTTTTTAACCCCGAAAGCCTATTTATTTATCAGAAAAACATTTAATACGGCGTTACCGCACCCACGGACTCTGAGACGTTGGTATTGTATTGTTGATGCTGACCCTGGGTTTTCGACAGGGTTTTCAGAGCATTGACAGAGCACACCAGTAATGTTAACAAGCCTATTATTTGTTCATTAATGTTGGACTGCATGTCCATAAGGCAACGACTGGAATGGGACGGGCAACGTTTTCACGGTACTGTAAACGTAGGCAATACCGGTACTATTGACAACGATGATTCCAATCCAATGGCAACGGAAGCATTGGTCTTCCATTTGGTCTCGATCAATTCGTCATGGAAAATTCCTTTAGGACATTTCTTTGTTGCTTCTACGAATGGAGAACAGCTTAGTAGCTTGGTGAAGCAGTGTTTAGGACTTCTCCATGATTCTGGCATCAAAGTCGCCTCTCTAACGTGTGACGGTACGTCGTGTAATCTTGCCATGGCCAATAATCTGGGATGTTGTATGGATCCCAAAAACCTATTGCATTGCTTTCCACATCCCAGCAGTGGTGAACGTATTTATTTTTTCTTGGTCTCCTGACATATGCTAAAACTTGTGAGAAATACCTTGGCAGATTATAAAGTATTGTTTGATTCTGCTAACAATCGCATAGAATGGAGATATATTGAACAATTGCACGAACTCCAGAATCAAGAAGGTCTTCATCTGGGCAACAGACTTACAAATGCTCACGTAAACTACACCAAGCAAAAGATGAAAGTGAAGCTGGCAGCACAAGTGTTGGGTTCATCTGTCGCTGACTCACTTGACTGCCTTTTAAAAAACAATGTTCCAGGTTTTGAAGATTGCTCAGCTACAATAGAGTTTTTGCGAATGTTCAACATCCTCAATTCAAGAAGCATTCGAGCGAAATATGGG